GGAGGAAGGAAGATCCTACAGAAATCATCGGTTTGGCCATTTGCATGCAACTATTCAGAGATGGACTCAAGAACAAGGATGTGAAGGCAGAAGGAAATCATAAGAGTATTGCTGAAAAAGTATGGTTTCTTCCCCCATTTAAACACATATTGCTAATTCTGTGAATCCTTGGTACTACAGTCCTAGTTATATTAGTTTCATTCATCTAAGTAATGAAAAGTAGAAGTCCAGCGTCTCTAACGTTAGAGGATTCCTTTTCATACCCCCGGGACCTCTAATTCTCACCGCTACTTGCAATGTTTCTCCATGGCAGCAGAGTTTGTCTCCAAGGCCTCTGTCCCAGTGATGAGATGGGATGGATCTCTACCTCCTTTTGCTCTTGACAAAAGTATGCTACCCTTCCCACTGGTCTTGCCCAGTAACACTGCTGCAGTCACTATCTTGACTTTTATTACCATATTCTGAAGACACCCCTTGCTAGTTGTTATAATGGATTGGTCTGATCTTGGCCCTTACTATTCATCTTGTTTGATTTAGTCTTTGCATCCTGAAACCAAATCAGAATCCAATGCTGGGTAGCAAGTGTTAATATTTATTTCCTAGGGCTTGATCAAATTCTTAAAAGCTTTGATAAGTTTTCCCAAGGCTGCTTGGAACTCTCCCTTAGACTACTTGGAGACAGAAGTGTACAAAGCCAGCTTAATTGGTAAAGCAGGCTACATCCCATCTATCGCAGACTATAGTTGAAGCAAGCATATGTTGAGATAAAAATAAATTGTAACCATATTACAACCAAAGTCCATTTTGATCCTTCGCTTGTTTCCTTTCTGTGTGATCATAATCAAGGAAGAACCCAGAATGTCCCTGATCCTTAATAAAGAACTATAATAAAGTATAAAGGGCATTGAAAAATTCACTACATATTCAAAAAGATGTGCTGATCTGCACAAAAACTCAGTTCTTATAAATGATTTTAGGAGCTGCCAACAATTGCCAATCTTGAGCAAACATTTATACATTTTAATGGCTCAAGAAATAAGTTGAAATACCGTGTATTCCTGAAAATACAACAGGGTCTTATATTTTTTTGACCCACGAAATATGGACTTGGGCTTATTAGAGGGGGAGGGCTTATTGTTTTGGGGTTGCCAGGCGGCTGCTCCCTTGCGAGCAGGCTCCCAAAGAGCCATATTTTCTATGGTTATGGTCAGGCTGCCGGACAAAGTCTTCCGACAGCCTGCCCATAACCATAGAGCACACTCCTAGAACGGCCACTGCTGGAAGAATCGGAAGCCGAGTTCTGGAGTTTGGAAGCAGGAGAAGAGGCTTTGCTCGGAGCTCGGCAGCAGCTGCAAGGACAGCTGGCCCAGGGCATGGTGAGGCTGGGAGGCATGAGAGCTGGGGGCAGAGCAGGTGCTTGCACAACCCCCCTCTCCAGCCGGGCAGAGCTCCATGCACTGACCTAGGGGGTATCCCGACTGTGCCAAGCCGCGGGAGCTCGGGGGTAGGCAGAGCACCACATGGCTTGGCGCCTTAGGGATACTCCGTAGGTCTGCCTGGCTGGAGAGGGGGTTTGCTGGGTGGCTGCTCGTAAGCATGGTCACCTCATGGCTGCTTCACCCCTGAGGCTGTGCCTGGCTCTTCGGGAGCCCGCTCGCAAGGGAGCAGCCAGCCAGCAACTCCCCCCTCCAGCCAGGCAGAACGCCACTCCCCAACCTAGCAGTATCCCGAAAGTGCCAAGCAACGTGAGTGCCTTTCTTCCGCCCCCCCGGCACCCGCAGCTTGGTGCCTTCGGGATACCGCTAGGTTGGTGAGCGGTGCTCTGCCTGGCCAGGGAGGGGGGTGTTGTTCAGGGGGCTTATTTTCAGGGGACTTATATTTTTGCCCACCTGAAAAATGTGGCAAGGCTTTAGTTTCAGAACATGTTGTATTTTCAGGGAAACACGGTATGACCCCACTGATTTCAGAGGGCGTAGATTTCTCCCCTTTCTCTCAGACATTTCTCATTGTTTATTTAACCCTAGTTTATAGTTTTTTTAAAAAAACAACCTTCTATCATTCCTGGCTATCCTCAAACTTCATCCATTAGAACAATCTCCCCTTTTATAAGAAGAATCAAAGAGAGATGAATCACCTTAAGAATTGTATTCTTTTGTGGTTCAGTTACCCACAGCGCTCATTCCAATTGATCTTGGTCAAAAAGAAGCCGTTACAGTTAAGATACAGTTAAGTAGAAAAAAATTGGCCAGCTAAGTGAGTTATTTTCATGGTGTTAGTAACCCAAAGCTAAAACTCAGTGGTAGAGCTCACATTTTGCATGCTGAAATCTCCCCATTCAGTCCTCTGCATGTCTAGTCATGAGTGGGACCAGACACCTGCCAAGTCGCTTCACTTTAATGCTATTTTTATGAACTCAATAAAGAACAGCCTTGATAAGACATGGGGGTACCTGCATGGCAATATCCGAACAAGCGCCTATCCTCAGCTTTCAAGTTTCCATTGTAAAGTATAAATGCAGCATGGAAAAAAAAGGTTTTTCTCTATTTTCCAGTTAATTACATGGATTGCATAAACATATTCAGGTATATGCACATGAGTCAGCAGAAATTCTACATCTTTTAACTTCCAGTCTGGTGAATAGCTATTATGCATTTTTAGGTTTTAGTAAATCCCACAGAGGTTTAATGAGGTGGTTTGTGTAGAGAAGACGGCACAGAAGACTATTGCCTATCAATCAGTCTGTTTGTTTATCCTATTAAGCTTTTGGTGCTCACTAGATATGTTGACTACAATTCCCATAATTACCACCTAATACGACCAGTAGGGAGAGGCTGACCAAGCTGGATATTTTTTGCTTGGATTTCCAAAACCTGATTGAAATTGTGGATAGATTTAGCTGATTTTTTTAAAACTTTGATGTAGTAAGAATTAGGAATCTTTGACCACTTGTCATGCAAAGCACATATAGGAATCTGAGAAAAAGCTAAAGGTATGTAAGCTAAAATCATCTGGATAAGAACCATAAACAGACAAAGCCAACAAGCTTCCCTTAACAAGCCTACAAACATAAGAATATTTGGAAATAACATCTTTCATCAATTGGTCATTGTGACTTGGGGACTCCATTTGGAATCACAACATGCAAAAGTACATGCTATGCAAAATTTAGTTGAAAAGAAGCCTAAAGCATACATCTGAAAACCACAGTTATATTCTATATGCACGTAGAAGCTATGATCAGATCATCTCCTGATACCATATCTCAATTCAATGGCACAATAGTATATCCGGCTTTCATATTTTAGAAAATTGATTAAACATAAAAGTTTAAAGGCAAAGATTACTCCAAAATATTTCTAAACAATGGAGGTAAAGAGGACCAAAATGTACAATCGATGGTGCTGTTAGAAGGCTACTCCCATCATATATTTAAATAGCTTTGGAGTGACTATGATTTAGTTGAAAAATCAGAAAATGTAATCTGTACATTTCATTAAGGTGTCATCTACCTTCCTCATTCCCCAAAGACATAAGCATACTTGCAAAATCATAAGCATACTTGCAGTTTCACTTAGTGACTACTTTGCTTAGCAACCAAAATGTCAGTCCAATTGTAATTGCTTGGCTAATATATTCTATTCTATTCTATTCTATTCTACTCTACTCTACTCTATTCTATTCTAAACAATAAGGATTTGTTTTGTCCACAAGGGACAAAAGCCTCTTCTGATATTTCCTTAATTAAGCCAGGTGCCCTTTTGTCGTATCTCACAGCAAAATAAACTGATTGTGTTATTTCTAGAGCGGTATCAAAGTTGTGCCAAAATTATTATGGGGAAGAACAGAGACATTTTCTGCTTTCAGATAACCTGAAACTCCTGAACTTGCAGAGGGTCAAGAGAAGGATGCATGGTGCCAATATCTTCATGTTGCCAAAATTAGGTTGGACAAAGTCAGAAGTACTTTGCAATTCATCATGAATGGATAGGGTTCTAGACTTTAATCTGTTTGCGGTTGAGATGGAATTTAACCTTGCTTAACCTAATTCCTGATCAACATACCTTACAAGTTCTTCTTCTTCTGAAGAACTGCTCACATGGACATGCTACTATATGGAATTCTGCTCATGCTCAATCCAGCATGTAGTGTTGAATATCTAAAGGCTGTTGCCCAGCATTTAATACACAACCTGACTCATTGGGTCATCTATTTTTCCACATATAATATAAACAGGTATATATTATAATATAGAATTCCACTGCTCTCATGTTCCTCAGCAGAGCTCCAGTGAATCCTCCTCCTCCTTAGGTGACCTGTGGAACTGCCTACCACTTTGCTGAGGGGTAAGAGGAGCAAAGGAAGCTGAAGCCTGCAAGGAAAAGTGTACCCCTGCTCCCCATCCCAGCTTGTACCCAAGGGCCTCCTCCCTCCAGAGAGGGGAGGGTGTCGTGTCAGCTGCTGGCACCTCCTGACCAGCCTATCTCACTAGCAGGGACCTGAGTTGCTCCCTTGCCCTTCCCTTGCTACCCACTGCTGTCAAGAGATTTCAGTTTTTGGCCTTGGTTCTAAAACAGCCAATCGCTGCTCGCACGTTGAACCTTGTCACCAGCCAATTGGACCAAAGAGAGATAAGAAAGAGGGTGGGATATTCTTCTTCTGTCTTCCCTTGCACAACACAATCTACAGGTTTCTAGGAAGTGTAGTTGGAAATCATGATCACATGACTGTTGCTAACCATTGTAATGCTGCAGCGGCCACAACTGCAAATAAACTGATAGAAGATTCCATGGGAATCATAGGTATGGATTTTGGATGCCTTCTTTAATTTAACCCATTTGAGGTACCTTGCTTCAAAAATTGTTGTCCTATGATGCATCATTTTGCCCAAGATTACAAACAGAAAGACAGACAGGAGAGTTTCAATAATATATACATTTCCTGTTGCTATAATCAATGAAGGAAGAGAAACAAACATGGCATAGATTGCTAATGTTACCTACCTCAATAATATAAAGAACCACATTCTTATAGAAGCAATACAATATGCATTTTGTCACTCGATTGTAACTCCAGGCTCCATGGACAAGTAACAGCTTCTCCAAGTAGGAAAACTAAGGGGAGGAAAAAAAAGATCAATTATGTGCCATCAAATTACTGTCAACTCTTAAATGTTGGGCCAGTGTGTGGAAGAGTTTAATGTGTGGCTAAAGGAGTGGTGTAAAAGGGAAGGCTTTGGTTTTATTAGTCATGATGTCTGCAGCTGGTCCAATGAAAAACTGTACAAAAGAGATGGTTTGCACTCATCCAAGAAAGGGACTGAGTTACTTGGCATTAAATTCACAGATTTTCTGGATAAACATTTAAACTGAACAGCGGGGACAGAGAATTAATTGATACAGAACATTTCTGGATGGACAGATAGTTATGGATGGGTAGATAGATAGCTTGCCTCCAGAAGTTGTGAATGCCCCAACACTAGAAGTCTTTAAGAAGATGTTGGATAGCCATTTGTCTGAAATGGTATAGGGTTTCCTGCTGGCAGGGGGCTGGACTAGAAGACCTCCAAGGTCCCTTCCAACTCTGCTATTGTATTGTATTGTATTGTATTGTATTGTATTGTATTGTATTGTATTGTATTAAATTGTGTTTAGATTTAAAGTCGACCATTCATTGCTTGGTGAAATACACTTAGGATAAATTATTCTAAAGTTTTATATTTACCACAGTGGGCATGCCTGAAATATTGAACATGGAGCATGTTATTGGTTTTAAGTAATTATCCGTTCTGATTGAAGCACATGTCCCAATTTAAGTAGCTACTGTAACATGAGGAGGAGACGCTATTGAATTCCTGCTTGTGGGTTTCCCATAAAGAGATGATTGGCTAATGTGGGATACTAGATTAGATGCATCTTTGTTGTGGTTCAGTGTTGCTTTTCTTAGGCATTTAGATATTCAGAACATTATATCATGATCTTGTGACAAGATTCAATACCATATCATATGTAATCGGGGGAAAATACATTACAGCAAGAGATACGTAATGCAAACCTGTCGTCATAAAAAAAATCATAAAACTAGTTTTTAACTTCCTATGTTTTTAGTTCCTCATAATGCCTCTTCTTTGTGCATCAGCTAAAAGCTGTGTTAAATTTATGAGTTTCCTAGGAAGAGTGTCAGTCTGGTGTATTGGTGGAGATGGTGAGTTCTAGATCTTTCTTAAGCAGGAAAGCCAGCTTGATGTCTTTGGGTCAGTTTCCCTGTCTCAGCCACTTCACAGGGTTGATTTTTGGGGGGGAAATAGGAGGCATTAGAGGTGTATTAGGGGTTCATGCCATTTTTAGATAGATAGATAGATGATAGATAAATAGATAGATATCCTATCTCCCCAAAAATAAGACCTCCCCAGATAATAAGCCCTATCAAGCTTTTGAGTGCATGCGGTTAAATAAGCCCTCTCCTGAAATGGATGGACAGATAGTTATGGATGGGTAGATAGATAGTTATTTAAAAATGATAGTCAGAGCAGCGGCATATGGCAGTGATTAAAGATATTTAAAAGACACAGCACCAGAGGGTTTTATGTGCTGAAATAATTATCCAACAATCTATGTGTAGTGGAAAGGAATTGGATAGCATCCCTTTCAGTTGAAAACAGCAGTCAGATATTAACTGCATATGTGTTATGTGGGACTTATTCCCAAGTAAACATTGACAAAATCACAGGCAAATGTGTAGAATTCTGGATATTGGTTAGACTGCTTTTACAATACATGATAATTTTTAACATTGATGTAGTAAATCACTATATTACTATTCTATATGTTTTAATTGGTATTGTATGGTAGCTTCACAAGGTGGCATTTATTCATCAGTCTTACTTATATCTTGGAAGCAAGTTAAAACAGTCTTTTGCTCAGATTGATTGTGGGGCCTATTTAGGCTATCACAGGAAACTGACTGCTTTAGTTTTAATTGCTTATGATGAGCTTATTCTTTTTTTCTGCTATTCACAGCCCAGAGTCTGACAGGACTGGGGCGGGTTACAAATTTGGTTGATTGATAGACATAGACAGATAACCAACCCTACTATGGATGTGTTAATTATTGTCTTGGGACTGTAAACTTCAAGGAATTCCTGGCAGATTCAGCAATAATAAACACACTTACTTAGGAAATAGTAAAATAACAGAATTATCTGGGGCTCTGTATAAATTGAAGAACTACAGCTCCCACCAATTTCAGCTTAAATAGGTGATGATGATTTATGTTTTGTAAGCTGCCCAGAGTCACTGGATATGGGTGGCATATAAATTTTAATAAATAAATAAATAAATCATTAGGAATGTTGAGAACTGAATTACAGCAGGCGCAGCAGAATCTGGCCAGACACAAGTTCACAATCATTCTCCTATCCTAGTCATAGCTTCAAGAATAAGAGATAAAGGCAAGGAGCCAAGAGTTAAATTGGCATTGAAACATGTAGGGAACTATAACGAAATAGTAATGGACTTCTTGAAACAATCTCTAACTACCAGGATGGCCAACTTTCTTTGAGCCAGGAGTAGAAATTTGCTCTCTCAGCCCACTGGTAATATCACTGAAAGAATGATAATGTCTTTGATTATTCAGTCCATTTTTGCTTTGTGTAGAACTTTGTTTAAGTTCTCTGAGAGCCCACCTGCACCTTTTCCTATTAGAACATTCCAGAAACAAACAAATATATAAATATACAAATAAACATAATCCAATTGGACATGGTGGTTGTGTTTGAACTTGTGAAATGGCATAAGTAGACCCAGTACCCCAGTAGACCCTGTGGAAAAATGCTAGGCAAATGAAGATGATTTGATTGTTTTTAAGAAGCAGAAAGTATTCCTTGTGTTAAGAGCTGTGAGGGCACAGTGGTTAGAATGCAATATTGCAGACTGACTCTGCTCACAGTCTGGAGTTTGATCCTGACTGGCACAAGATTGACTTAGTCTTTCATCCTTCTGAGGTTGGGAAAATAAGATTGTTGGGGGCAATATTGTAATATGCTGACATTGCAAAAAGAGTGCTATAAAGCACTATGGGGTGAAATATAAGTCTGGGTGATATTGCTAAAAGAGCTAGATTTTGATAATGCTTAGAACATTTGGAAGGGTGGAAATCAGAGAATTATTTATTCATTTATTTAATATTAATTAGATTTATGTGCCTCCAATTTCATACAGAGGGGACTTTAGAATTATAGAGTTGAAAGGAGTGACTGAATCCAACTCCTGATTCTTATTTATAACAGATGAATAGCTAACTTCTTTCACCATTTTCAGGTAACTGGTTCAAACTGCTGTTCATCTTTGGAAATTGTTTCCCACCCTCCCCACTAACATTCCTAACAAATCAGTAACAATCTGCCAAAACAGAGGAGTCTACTTCCAAAGACTCAGAAATTTCCCATTTTCCTGTCTGTTTTAGAGAAAATAAAATAAAATAAGAAAAATTCTGCTCCCAATTAGTCAATTTGCTGCTGAATTTCTGCAGCATAGTCCCAGGATGCTAGTGATTGGCACAAATTGGGTCCCAGGGGTTGGGTGATGTTATATACTCCCTATGGGCTTCTATTTATTTACTTCTGCCTTATCGGCAATAACTCAGCAAAAATAATCTCAAAAGTTTTCTACCAGATTCCATACAAATGACCATTTCATTAACATTTCCTATGTTTTTTTGGTTTTTTTTACCATTCAGAGGCTTACTTTACTTCCAAGGAATCCTGAGTCGCATAGAAGCATTTTATTTCCCGTCTTTTCACCTTCACAATATTCCTGCACTGAGGATTAGATTTAATGACAATGATTTTGCTAAGGCAATGCAACAGACTTGGTACTGGGCAGGAATATGAACAGAGGTTCCCCAATACGAATCCAGCTTTTAATTTCCTTTATCTCTGGGCTCTCAAAGCATTGTTCCTCATTCTGAAGGAAACTTTGGAACGAAAAGCACTCCAAAAAATTTCCAAGGATTATAACACACTAAATAATTTAAGATCAACCAAGAGATCATGAGTTCTAATCCCATTGCCGGCATGAAAAAGCAGCTGGGTGATTTTGGGCCAGTAATAAGAGAGAGAGACTGACTTTGGGCCAGTCTCTCTCTCCCTCTCCCTCTCCCTCTCCCTCTCTCTCTCTCTCCCCCTCCCTCCCTCTCCCTCTCCCTCTTATTTATAAACAATAATAAAAGTAGGATAAAAAATATTAGCAGAGTTTAAGAGGAAATAAGATCCAAAAAGAAGAATATACTCTAAAGAAATTCCTGCACACATTTTCTGAGAGGAAGAAAAATGATCCCACTAAAACAGCATTCCATTTTTATATACTGTATAACTAGGTATATATCCCACATATTTCCATACAAAAATACAGATTGTTGTGGTTCTGTGTCTAGAAAGGGACCAGTGAGATTCATTCTGAATCAGAAACAATGGTGCTTGTCACCTTGCAGCATCATTCAACATCTGGTCAGACCGCAAGGTGGCGGTCAGCCAGAGTTTGCCTCAGGCATCCCAACGACTGCCAACACCTATTACATCAGTGAAATGCAGGATGTGAGAAGCAGATCAAAGCAAATACTGTAGCCTCTTCTTCAAGAAACTACATGACTACTCACGCATTTAGAATTTCTATCAGCAGTTCAATAATAAAGGTGATCCTTGAATTAATTAATTCCACCTTTTGAAAACAATAAAATTTACACCCAAGATTTGAACTGCCTCAAAAATGTCTCTATTTGGTTTTGGGAGTCTGAAAAAAAAAATAAGTCATTGGATTGTATTATAATGAAGATGAGAGATCTATCCAGAAGGGGGTTGTCTCTGCACCATATACTGTACTTTAAACTTTCTTAAAAATAATAAGAACTCTTACATATTTCAAATCTTTGTATGTGAGATATTATTTGTTTAAAAGAAATAAATATTCCTAGATATATTAGCATTTAGATTTGGAATCTGTAGTCCTCTTATTGGAGGAATAGGTTAGGACTCATCAAAATCAGATGAGAATCCTGGTATCTTCTCAAAGAAGAACAGGACAATGGGACCTCCAAGGCTAACTGTACCTTGGCAGTA